TATGTTACGGACCATACAAGTGGGCAAATAAAGCCAATGTTAAGTCTATACTCAAACTAGTTATTTACCATCAAGTGTCATGCTCACCTTGTTATACAGGAACTTCTCCCCCTTTACATAAAAGTTCTTAAATTATTTTAAACTCTTTTCATTTCTGTTGAGAATTTTTTAACCTCCCACATAGTAACCCCCTCCCAAAACTAAAACTAAAATCAAATTAAACTAGATACATACAAGATTTTGGGATATACTCACATGTTCAGAAAAGGAGGAAAACGTTTTTTTTTGTTCCTGAATGGTGAAAAATAAAAAATCCCACCGAAATATGAGACTCAAAATCCAGAAAACACTGATAAGAGACAAAAATCCTTCAAAGAATCTCCGACAAAAATAAATTCTAGATACCCTACTTTGATAATTTGATAATCATCCCTAAAATAAAGCAAAACAATTAATTACTCACTTAGGGACTAAGGACTTTACCTGAATCGCCAGCCTCCAAACTCAGGGATAAATCTCATTGGCTCTCTTTAATTTCCAGCGTTCAGCGTTAGTGTTCCTACACAATAACCCTGCTGTCCCCCATCCTCTCCTGACAGAATTCCTCATAGCACCACCTGTCTCTACAGCAGGGGTCTTAATCTGTGGCTCCCGGACTCTCTGGGTGGGTCTGTTAATAGGTTCCAGAGAGGTTGATAAATCCCCTGAAATTTTATATAAAACTTGGGTAATTTATGGGATCCAGAAAGATTAGGAACCGCGAATATAACGTGAGAGCACTAGAAAAACCCGCAGTGCCAGCCCAGCCCCGCCTCACGCCACAGTGCCTCTCACCTGGCTGCAGCCAGCCCCAGCTCCCGGCGGCAGGTATCTCTTCTCAGCTGCTCAGCCCGGTCCCTGGGTCTCACTGGGCCAACCTCCTGCTCCGCCCCCCGGAAGGCTCCTGCCGCCAGGTCGGAGGGAACGGAAGATTCGACCACCGGGTCAGGGGCGACCTTAGGAGCCGCCTCCCTGAGCTCCGGACGTGGGCGGAAGCAGTTTTCCAGGACCGGCAGCTGCATGATGGCTCTGGCCGCGCACAGCCGCCCGGATGACCAGGCTTGGGGATCTGCTAGCTGGATCCTCAAGGCCAGGGTCTCGGGACACACAGGGAGTCCATTCTGGACTAATTTTTACAGAAGAGGTACTTGGGCATGGAGCAGGGAAATCTAAAGCCAGTGAGCCTAAGTAGCTACTAGCAAGAAGAAGAGGTACCCAGTTTTAGTACATTTAAAAACCTATTAAGTCCTCACCAAACAAAATGAAAAGCTGCCTTCTTCCAAGTTAGACCAATAAAGAGATTACACAATCACCACCAAGCGTGAAGCTATGGGAAAAGCCAGAGGGGTAAACTTCTGACCAATGCTGTTGCCTTATGTAGAAATGTTATCAATGCTGAACAATGGAATCAGAAAAACTATTTCTACTTCACCCCAAGACCCCAGGGACCGTGGGTTAGGTAGGTTATCCACCCTGTATGAAATCAGGACCATGCTTCACCTTCCTTCCCAACATTACCATTATTCCCAAACCCGCACATGGCTGATGCTTACCATTCCATATTTTAAGCTTCTTCAGCTTAGACCAGAGTTTTTCGCTATTAAAATGCAAATGATTCAAGGAAGAAATTTAAGCCTTATCAGTCACATCTCAACCTGCGCCTTCTCTTGAGAGCAGACCTTGAACAGAATTAGAGAAGGGAATGGGCACTGGACTCTAAGGGCTGAGGGAAAAGGTACAAAAATGAGACAGACTGAATTTGACTAGCTAGCCTTCAGTTGTATTAAATATACATACAGCTTATAAAATGATAAGGCTTAAGATTTCTGACGCCAAGCAGCAAAAACAAAATGTTCAACGTAAAATATGATTTCTTAGGTTAAATTCCAGGAATTAAAAAAGTACTAGTAGGGCTGGCCAGTTAGCTCACTTGATTACAGGGTGGTGTTAACACTAGGTCAAGGGTTCAGATTCCTCCCTACTGGCCAGCAGCCAAAATAAATAAATAAATAAATAAATAAACCAGTGAAGCAGAAATTTCACTATTAAGCAACATGAGGGGGAATTTTTTTTAACTAAAAATTAAAAATAATTGCTAAAAAATAATAAAAGGTTTGATAGTTAATATTCTACCAGAACATAAGAACAAGCAAAAAGATGAAAAAACATGAAAGACAGGAGATATGAAGGATTAATTCAGCAGTTCTATAATCTAATAGAAGCTCCAAAAAGAACACAGAAAACTTAGGAAATACTATCAAAGAAATAATACAAAAACACTCCGAGGGCCGAAAAAAAAAAAAGATAATTTTCAAAGCACTCTAAGTACTACAAAGAATTAAAAGGTCTACTCATTATAAAATTGAAGAACATGAATATCTTGTGGGATCTTTGATGGAAATTAACTTTGAACATAGAAAAGTAATAATTTTAAGTTTGTCTCATCTCCCAGCAAGGAAAAAGACCCAAATATATATATGTTAATATGTTTTTTATATGTGTATATATATATATATATACACACATACACACACATATATCTATGGTCCAAATTTAAAGCAAATTAGTATGTGGAATGGTTTTGAACAATTTTCATTTGAAAATTAACTCACCTCTTTTTATCTCAGAAGTATGCTTTGTGAGATATTAAAAGCACCCTTTTGCTTC